TAAAATGTCTCTAATGGCCCAAATTATATTGTTAGCAGAGCAACAGGGTCCAGTCACACCCTCCTCCAAAATCCTGCTGCAAGTCTCCAAACTAACCATCTCTCCCTCCCTTCCACCCACTTAGCTGGTTCCCACTCCCTCAATCAGCAAAGTCAGAAGGCAGGAAAGAAAGAAGACTCCTTCCTCACTCCCTTCCATCTCCAGGACCTCTGCATTGCCAGTGACCTAGCTGCCAGTAGGCCTAGAGAATGTAGTTGTCCCAGGGCAACCAATAACCCTCAGGTGTCAGTAGGCCTGGGAAATTGTCATTCTCAGGGCTGGTGTTGTTGCTGATGCAGCTGTGCTCCAGATGGCAGGGCTCAAGAGGGCATTACAGTCACCAGGTCTATCTTCTGAAGCAAGGAAGTACGAACTTCATCAACATCTCTAGTCTGTACCTAGGGCCTTTACAGTCTAAATGAGAGCCAGGCCCCTCTCATACATAGCATATACAAATAAGCCAATGCTACTGTTTTCAGCCTATTGATAGAAAAATAGCAGCACTCCTGTCTATGCAACAACAAAACATTAGGCATTTATGGTTTAATCCATTCTCCCACAATCGCCCTGGCAAAACCCCCAACACTCCTAAATTCTTTCTCAATCCCATTTTGCAGTTCTCTGAGAAAAAGTTTAACAAGAGCCTGCTTTCCCATGTTTCTATTAATATTCTAAAGAAACACAATTCATGACAACGAGGAATGATATCCAGAAATGACTACATGATTGAAAAGATGTGTCAAAAATTAATAGATATTCAATAAATGCATCCTTGAAATAGTATTCAGGGAACTGTTGCAAAATGAAACTATTTAATCAAAGCCGCTCTTGGGTGAATATGCTGTTCGGAAGGGCAGGGTGGCATATAATGGGGGCATTTTTTTGTATGTGTCCACCATCTTTTGCATACAAAATGGGAGAATCATAGGAGCATATAGGAGAGGGAAACTGAATCTTCCCTTTGCTGTGCCTTCACTTTCCACAAATTGTTGCTTCAAGCACTTTTCTCTCTACCTGGTTTGGATACAGGAAGTGAGCTGGGAGCAGAGAAAAGGCTTGTTTCTATGTGTGAGGATAGGTTGTTGGGTCAGATTAGCCATATTGATTTGTATGCTGTTGGGGTGAGGGGTAGGTCATTGTCCTGCTGTGCTATGTACCGTATGTGATAAATGGGAACCATACTGGGGTGAAGCACTGGCGGAGGAAGAGGTGTGCGGGGGGAGCGCACTGCCCCTGGCAGCGCGATCCCGGCAGGGTGCCAGGCGGCTGCCCCCCCCACGCTTGGCACCACGCCCCCAGGACGCATGTCAGCCCCACCCCTGCCTGCTCTCTGCCCCTGGGGTGAAGGCATCCTCCTTGCTAATTTAAGTTTGTTGGTTAACTTCTCTAGGAGGGTGGTTTACCATACATTTTGGTAGCAGTGGTCTATGTTCACTCCTGATAGGTCCTTCCAGTGTCTAGTTACAATATTCTCATGTGTGTGTGTTGTCCTGGAAGATATTTAATAGGATCTCAGCAGATAGTTGAATCTTATTTCAACATCCTCCACTTCACCCTAAGGGCAGTGACCTGATTTAGTGGGTTCAGGACAGGTTGCAATGCACACACAGAACTGTCCCCACTCGCTGCCCTTCAATATTTACCTCCCAAGGCAGCTGCCTCACTCGCCTCATGGTAGGGCTGGACCTGTGTACAGCTCATGGGTGTGACTGGGTTTATAAAGTGGCTTATGAAAGGAAGATTGGCATCAGACCTTAAAAATGGAATGTACATTTTGCTAAGATTTAGTTTAGAGGACTTTTGATTACTGGGATGATTTGCACATTTTAAATCTCCAGATCCCTCATGGAAATAAATGGAAGAGTGTTCCAGCATCAGTCAAGCCATGGAAAAAAGAGGCAGAAAAAAGACAGGACAAAAATTGTTGCAATACAAAGTAATATATAGAATGCACCACATAGCTGTGACTTGAACAAGTGTGGGCAGAAGGGGTTAAGGAAAGATAGGCAAGTAGCAAGGAGGTGGGTTGGCAGATAAGCTGTGCGATTCAAGGACAACTCATAATACATCTCTGATCAAATTTTAAAGGCAGCATTTTGTATTCAGGAGATGGGGAGGAATAATAAATGAATTAGGAAGGACAAATTATGCTGGGTACTGAAGTGCACACAAAATGGCCCAATGACCTACAATTCCTTACCTGGGGCACAAGATTAAGTACATTCACATATATTTCATTTCCGTGGAAATGAAAAGGCTGCACAAATGAGTGGAACACATTATTCCAAAAAATGTTTTTTTAAAAGCTGCACGTCTCAAATTTTGTATTGCTTAAAAAAAGTGTGTGTGTGTGTGTGAGAGAGAGAGAGAGAGAGAGAGAGAGAGAGAGAATGCCATGTGTATCCTTCCAGCTGTATTACTGACATAAGTGTTGGGTGTTGCTGTGGTATATTTCCACCCCAGAGCTGAATGTTGTTGTATCAATCCCATGTGGAGTGACATCAAAGCTTTGGGCAGCCCTTACAGAGAAGCAGAGATGGGGAAGGCATTAAATTTGGTTTGCTTTTTAATGACAAACCACCTAATTTGCACTTCTCAAACCTTTTATTTCTCATGGAGAGAAAACAACAACACTCAATTGGGAATGATATGAACAGATGAAAAGAGAGAAGGAAAGGGTTAAATATCTTCCCTCCTCCCTCCCAACCTGAAGCCAACTGCAGCTGCTTTACATGATTAAATGAAAGCCCTCTGTAAACATGGAACTACATGTCCTTACTCCACAAACATAACAAGGAGGGTAGGGCAAGTAGTTGGCGGGTGTGATTCCTACTTGCCCTACCCTGCTGCCTGGGGGGCAGAGCAGATAGGGGAGATGGGAAGAAAGTGTGCTACAAAAGTGTTTATGCTTTATGTGCAAGCAAAATAAACTGTTTATGATGTTTTATTAAATTTCATTTATGCACAGTGCAAAAGATAGGTAGTGATACACAGCTCCCGATCACCGATGGGTGGAAATTGCAGGGAAGTACAATTCAGCAAAATATCAGGAGAAACTTCCTAACTGCAAGAGCTGTTTGATTAGAGCAGAGTAAAGAAGTGGTGGACCCTCCTTTGCTGGAGGCATTTGGGTAAATGCTGTATCTCCATCTCAAGGATGTTGTAGCTGCACCCCGCACTGCAGATCTTGCCCTGAGCACGTGACTGGAATAGATGGTCTTCAAGTTCTGTGTTTCTGTGATGGACTTAACAAGGCAGACAAACCCGTTTCATTCTGTTAAATCCCTTGCAAGTTTTCCCGTTGGAAGTGCAGGAAAACACCTGTTTAGGAAACCATTGCGAACAGCCTTTTGAAAAAGCAAGGGCTGTGTTGTTGAACATGCAGCATTTACAAAAGGTCACTCCACCCTCACATGTGTGCTGCTGGAAAATTGGCAGTGTAATTTTTCCCCCAGACTGTTTTTGAGATTGCCATGCTCGCTTGGCCAAAGGAAAGTTGCTGCATGTAAAGGGTTCAGCAGACAGACAAACAAAACCCACTGCTTTATTCAGACTGCTGCTCTCTGACTAACAGCAACAGAATATAAAATGTTTTTGGCTGAACCATCTGTAGGACTTGTTCATACTAGAAACCACCTTGGGGCAAGGAGGGGTCAAGAATCTGAGCTGGTGTCCTCTGGCTTTGTAACACCATCCCCTTCCCAAAGCTTCAGCAAGAGACTGCAGCACCCTTCCCTTCCTCCTTCCAGGCTTTTGGAGAAAATGTCTCTCAATGTACACATGGCTGGCCAGGGTCCACAAATGGCTCACAGCTAGGTGCTTTAAGAAAAGAGCATCAGCATCAGACAAGCTAGGCTTCTTCTTCACTGGTCCTGTAAATACCATTTCTGGACAGTGATAGAAGAATAGATCCTTAGGCTTTCATATGCTCCCCCCTTTTATCTTTTAACAGACAGTCTTGATGTTCTCATAATTGTCCTTGGCCATCACTAGTCTTACTTTGGATGAGGAGTTTGGGGGTGCCTTTAAAAGAAATGGCTATTTCCCCCCCAGATCTTAGCCACCTCTCCTGGATCTACAAAAGTAAAATCTAGGTTGATGCCCAGACAAGTGAGTTCTCCATTACCACACTGCTTCAGATAGTTGAGGAAGACCTGGCTTTTTTAAAAAAAGGCTGTAACAACAACAACAACAACAACAACAACAACAATTTATTATTTATACCCCGCCCATCTGGCTGGGTTTCCTCAGCCACTCTGGGTGGCTTCCAACAAAATATTAAAATACAATAGTCCTTCAGATATTAAAAGCTTCCCTAAACAGGGCTGCTTTCAGATGTCTTCTAAAAGTCTGGTAGTTGTTTTTTCCTTTGAAATCTGGTGGGAGGGCGTTCCACAGGGTGGGCGCCACTACTGAGAAGGCCCTCTGCCTGGTTCCCTGTAGCTTCACTTCTCGCAGTGAAGGAACTGTTGGTTTATTATGCAATTTTTGTTGGCTCAGGGCTTCTCATGTAGGATATTATGAACTTATTAATCTGAATGCATATTAGCAGAGCTCTGCTTTAGCTTGCCAGCAAATGTGTTGCTTTTGCTTAGCAGGAGGGGCTAAGTTCAACATGATGTCAACATGATGCAAATGCACCGGCAGGAGCACTCAGTCGGTTCCACCAATGTGTTTGCACCATGCAAACCTCTTCGTTTCTCCTCTTCTTTCCAGTAAGCAATAAATATCCATCGACTGGGATGCTAGTGTAGTGGGTCTGCCCCAACCCACAAACCACTTCTAGCTTTTGTTTTTAAGGAATTTTATTCATTTTAGTCTATCTAGTCACCTTGATTTGTAGGACAAGAAAAGCTTCAAAATAATAAATGAATAAGCAAAAAAGGCCAGAGGAAGACAATAGAATGAAATAGTGTCTTCCTCCTTTTTTCTAGCGCTGAGCAAGAGTCCTGCAAGTAAGCATCCTGAACATTCTGTGGTGCAATGAGCCAGTGTGTCTGGCTGTTAACAAGAAGGTTGGTGGTTCAAGCCCACCTAGGGACAGCTGTGGGTAGGATTCCTGCATTGCAGGGCATGGACTTGGGTTCCCTTCCAACACTACAATTCTATGATTCTGTGTCTGAATGGAGGTCTCTGGCTATTACAAAACATTCCATGTATTAGTCAGGAAATCCTTCACAACCATTGCTTCTGGTTCTTGGACTAATGCTACATCTAGGGACAATGTAATAATCATACATTGCATAGCAACTACTCCTTCTGCTGGTGCCCAGAGTGATCCTAACTGACACAAAGCAGCTGAGCAAGAGTTTGGCTCATTACATTCATCCAATGGAATTAGCACATCTGCTTCAGGAGGGCTGCTGATATGTCATGTTGCCACCACTGAACATCTGGAATGGGTTTTCTTGAAGCTTGAGGAATGCAGCTTTGCCCTGGCAGGCATCTGGCTGGCCATAGTTGAAGGAAGAGTACTGTACCAACCAGATGGAGCTCAAGCAATGCATTTCTCAGTCTTACCATCCTGAATATGCAACCACAAAATTTCTAGCTGCCTGTGTTGATTTGGTGCCAATTGTAGCTCCATATAGTAACTATCGATATTCCTTCAGATGGTCATTCTCAGTTTCTTTGGGATGTTTCTTAAGAAGTAAGTAAGGGTGCTTCCAGAAATCTAATAAGTGGGTTTTTGGCAACAAGATGTATGTTTCACAACATTTAAATGTCATTTGTTTGTGATGAAACCCACTGTTAGCTTCATAGGAGAAAACATCTCGTTTCCTTTTATGTTTCCACCTGCAGAAATAACAGAGAGCACCTGTGTTGTGTAGGTGTTGCTAGAGAGAGCTGGGTTCAAATCCCCACTCAGACATGATCTTTGGCCAGTCATGTTCTCTCAGCTTAACCTATATCACAGCATTTTGAAAGGTTAAAATGGAGGAGGGAAGAGCCAGTACATTAAGCTCTGTATTAAGCAGTCAGTTATGATAATGTGATGAATCTTAAACAGATAATTTTTCCTTGATTGACTGACAATTCTGTGGTCCTGGATCACGGCCACTGCCGGTATAAGTCTACGCACTTAAGTCTGTAATGATGCCATCAGCACATAATAATTAGAATCACTTAAATCGGATTTAAAACCGCGATTAAAAAAAAAAGAAAAGAATTGGCTTTTCTATTAATGAAGTTATTAAGGCTCCTATCTCTTCACTTGCACATTAAAATTTTGTTTTTGATGGTATTTTATGCCATTGAAAAAGGAGTGTGCAGTGTTCCTTAATATAAGCGGAGCCCTTAAATCTCTACAGCATTTATGCCATCTTTATCGCTTTGAAGCTTTCTGGATCAATTCCCACTGACTCTATAATTCTAAAACACTGATAAAATTATAATAATTAATTAAAGGTCTCTTGAAAATAATGCTCCCTGTCTATAATGATGTGATGAGATTATGTCAAGTATGTCTTATTTTACTCTGGGAACTTTATTGCCTGCAAGAGACAGACAAATTGAAGTGAATTCATGGAGCAGCAATAAAAATGATTTAGGGTCCGAGGACAGTGGTTTATGAGAAAAGATTAGAAAGGGCTAAATATGTATAACTTCTCTCAGTGAGGGCTATGAAAGAAATGATGCTGATCAACAAGTTGTTAAAGGATGTAAACATTATGTCAAAGGAATTATTTAAGCTGTAGGTCTATAGCCCTTTACCTGGGAACAATGGGATTGACTTCTGAGTAGACGTGTATAGAGTTGCAGCTTTAGTGTCATTGTTATGAATAAGGAATAAAAGGATGAAACTAAGCACTATATCATGGAAAGTGAAAGCCCTTTAAAAACAAGTGATGGATTTCATATTGGATTTTCCTTGTTGCATTTTGCCTCAGCCTTTGTTTAGAACAAACTTACACAGAGTTTGGATTGAATATCTAGGCTCCAGGATACAGTCCAGAATTTACGAGCCTACAAATGTAATTCCCAAGGGCAATTTTGTAAGGGAAAAATCTGGTTTGTAAGATTTAAAACATTTCCACCGAAAGAAGGCTAGTAACCTGTCTGGAGTTTGCTTATTACATTTCTCCCTGAGTGAGGCATACGTAGTGGGCATAATTTGCCTCAGTGCTATGTAACTGTACTGAGAGAAGGAAAGATAGACAGGAATTCCCTTTCTTTCCATTTTTGTAGCACCAAAACATACGTAGGTCTTGGACTGCTTCCAATATATTAACAATTTTCATTCACGGCAAGTTATTTCCTTGGTGTACATCATAGCATTCGAAAGGCTCTTAGACTCCATTTTGGCTTGTAAATGAGACATGGGTAGGCTGAGGCACCTGTGGGATTCTCAGTTTGCTCATTTCTGCTCCACAAATAAATCTGAGATATGAATCCTTTGGTTGTTATATTCTTTTCAGAAGAAAAACAATCTCTCTCTGTCCCTTTCTCGCTGTCTCTCAGTCTCTCTTGTGCTAGATTTGTTAGCCATCATTCAGTGTGATGAAAATTTGGTTTAAAGGTGGGATACTCTCCTTTTCTGCTTTTGAATTATGGTGCTGGAAGAGACTCTTGAGGGTCCCATGGACTGCAAGAAGATCAAACCTATTCATTCTGAAGGAAATCAACCCTGAGTGCTCACTAGAAGGACAGATCCTGAAGCTGAGACTCCAATAATTTGGCCACCTCATGAGAAGAGAAGACTCCCTGGAAAAGACCCTGATGTTGGGAAAGATGGAGGGCACAAGGAGAAGGGGATGACAGAGGATGAGATGGTTGGATAGTGTTCTCGAAGCTACCAGCATGAGTTTGACTAAACTGCAGGAGGCAGTGGAAGACAGAAATGCCTGGCGTGCTCTGGTCCATGGGGTCACGAAGAGTCGGTCATGACTAAACAACAACAATACTCTCCTTTTCTGAAGCATATTAGTATGCTTGTGTCTGTGGACAAACAACCTAATGAGAGTTCTCCAAGAATACAGATCGAAATAGTTGGATCTACATATATATTTTTTACTATGCTAATCACTTATCCCTTGGCAACTTAATTCACATAAGATAATTAATCTGAAATGTGTAATTTTGAAAACACCCTCTGGCAGCCTAATGATACAGAGCAGGCTTCATCAGCCAGATGCCTTCCAGATGTTTTGGACTACAACTGCCATTGGCCCCAGTCAGCAGTGACTGGGACTGATAAGAGTTGGAGTCTGACTTCAAAATATGTGATGGGCACCAGGTTGGTAAAGGCTGATATTGATTTACAGGTTGCAAGAAAGTGAATGGCATATGCTGCTGCAGCTGCTAGTAAACTTGCCTCTAATCACTTAATGTCACCACTGGCAGATGCAGATGTGTGCTGGTCTCAGATCAGACTTATAGCATGTATCTTCTGCTATCTTTCCCCTACTCTGAGGTGCCCTCGCACGGCATCACTGTGGTCCATTTGGACAAGGAGCCACTTTCAGATGCCTGATGCTAGTCTGAGTACCGCAATGCTCAGTGTTATAGTGTTATAGTATTGTGTTGGCAAGTCATATGTATTGTTATATTGGTCCACTATCATCAGGATTCTATTATTGCAATGCTTTGTCAGTCCCACAGTTCATAGCACCAACAAATTGGACATAGACTGCTATGCAAATCAGGGCCAAGTTATTGTGATGCTAAACATATTTGTTGATGTGGATTTTTGTTTATTCAGTTGCTAATAGCACAAAAGTGTGTGCTTGTGTATCAGGAATGTGAGAGAGGATGTTCAACTTTCTTTCCCTGCCATTGCTCTGTTAAAGATGTCTGCATGATTGTTACTAGCAATTAAAAAACAAAAGTTGCTACTAAAATGAAAAGTTTAGTGGCATGCATAGTTTATTTATTTATATTTATTTCATAAAAAATTTAAGCCACTTGATTGTACAAAAACCTCAAAGCGGTTTACAAAAAAAGATAAAATTATCAATTTTAAAAATGACAATAATTTAAGGCCAAGGCATGCAGAAAACCATCAGCTGCCTCCATCAGCCGCAGTAGTAGAATATGGTGCTTTGGGATTCTTTCAGGATTTAATGCAACATCTTTCAAGGTTCATGACCTTTGCATGCATGTGTGCATGAACATGTAGGTGTGCAGTCTTTGCTCTCAAGAAGCAGACACAGAACAGGTTGCTACATATTGTAGAGGTTTCTTTGAGCACAAAAATGATAGGTATGGTAAGTATAATGAGAAAATACAATTAAGCAATGCTTAATTTAGTAATCATTGTCATTTAGCAATCAATTCAAACTATGGCTCAACTTTAGTCACCTCCGTTACAGAAAAGGCTGATTCATCAGACTTTATTCCTTGGAACATCTTAACAGATTATGAAACATTTTTCAATTGCTGTACAGCAGCAGAGACATATTGCAAACTGATTATTGTTTTGCCCTTTCTAAGAAGGATTTCATTAGTTTGGCCTTAAGAATCTATGGTACTGCAAGGATTCTATGGAGTTATCTGGCTCCTGTTAATTTGTTTAAATGTTAAAAGCATACTTATTCACTGAAATATTCTCACATTGGTATCTCTCCTCTGTCTTTTCACGCCTCTCCTTTTCTTGAGTATCACTTGTTTCAAACTGTAAGTCTGAGGAAAAAATGTCTTAAATTTTGTTTCGTTTTCCAGTACCTTGTTAATCTATGAACTTCAGAAATAACAAATAGTAATTAACATTATTACTCACATATTCGCTGTGAGTCCTGGGAGACCTATTCCCCGCCTTGCTGGCCTTTTCCCACTTGGCTGTGGGCGGTGGGACCCTGACCAACTCCAGCTACAAAAGCTGAGGCTACTTTGGTTGAGGTATTGTTTAGGGTTTCTTTGTATATTGATTTTTAGATCATAGAACGATTTACGTGGAAATTGATTATGGTTGTGTACTTTTTGATGTGTTTTATTTATTGTTTAAGATTACTTTTGGTATGCTGCAATTATGTAAATTTCTCATGTTGTGAGCCACCTTGAGCATGCTTTGATATATGGAAAGGCAGCATACTGTACATACAAAT